AAAAAAAAAAAAAAGAATATCAGAATTAAAAAAAATGTCTTTAACAAGGTTAAATGAACCCATCCTTACTTCGATCACAGTTTTCTATTGCTTGGGCAGCTTGTGATGGTTTTAAGTATCGAACGTAGCCCAAACCTTTACTTTCTCCAGTGACTTTATTCTTAATTATGCTGCAATATTCGATATCTCCATATACCTATGAGAGTTAAAAGAAATGATCATAGGGGACTCAAAATTAATAAATGAACAGAGTATTTCAGAATTAACACTTATTTGTCTTTGTGTCTCTTGCATGCAAACAAATAAATTCTTCAAGAATATATAGGCATTTTATATTGCTTAATTCATAGAAAAGGCAGCTGGGCCTTAGAGAATGGAAATAACTTGTCAAGTCACAGAGAGACTAAGTAAGTCATAGAGAGTAAGCATTTGCACATGGTCTGAAAAATTCCAAATGTTGACGAGTAGTGGTGAAGAACAGGGAATTGAACCCTCTAGATTCACATCATGGGTCAGCCACTTATTAATTAAGTAGTTTCCTTATCCTCTTTGGGCCTGTATATTTATCTGTTAAATGGGGCTAAAAGTACTTACCTCATAAGGTTGTTACACAGGTTAAATGAACTATATTACATGGTAAGTGCTTATATAGGGTCTGGGACTTACTAAACAGTCAATAAATATTAGCTGTAATTATCTGTCTGTCTTCTAATAGCAGTACAAGTTACTATGCATTCTTTAAAGAAGATCCTTTAAAATACATTCAGAAGGTTAATACTGTATGTGAGAAACATGCAATAATGTTTACCCAATGTTGGAAGAAATAGATGTAAATTCTTGGTGTTAATTATTTACTTTGTAAAATTCTCCTATTACCAATTAGTAACTTAATTACATTTAGATTAAAGCATCATAATTTGTTAACTCAAAAAAAGATAAAAATGCATAAATATGTAAGGCAAAGACCTTTATTTCTTACCATTAGAGGAAAATGGCATACCTATTTTGGGTATTTATTACTTTTGAAGTGTTTTTTTGAATTCTCAACTAGGGTAGGAAAGTTTTTGGGAAATTAGTTTTTACTGCTTGTTTCTCTTCTTGCTTATTGTCAACTGATCACAAAATTGGGGAGATTAGCAGAAAAAGAAAAATTGCAACTCAGAACAATCTTAAAATCACATTTTAATATTTTTTGTGAAAGTTTATCGCTGCATATGAAAACTGATTGCTAAAAAGATTTTAAAGTACCTTCAAATTTCATTTACTATGATCTACAGTTCAGAACTATAGTTTTTTCTTTAATTAAAAGTCCTTCAGAGACCCAATTTCAGAATTAAGAACCATACAAAGAAATAGCCTTCCTGTAAATGAGTAAAATGTCAACATTTCATAGGCCTGTAATAAATGCTAGAAAATACAGTTCACACACTCAGGCCTGCCTGACTCACCTATGCATGACAGGCAATGCAGGGGAGTGATAAGAGTGTTTTGAAATTCTATACAGTAAGAGCAGGTTTTAGATTCAGATAAATTTGAGTTTAAAGCTTGGCAACCACTAACTTAAAACTCTCTTGAGCTTTATACTTCATTTTCTGAATCTATAGTTTCATAATAAAGTCTGGGAGTGGGAGAAAGTAGGGAAACCTCACCATAATTTTGCCACTTTTTATATTCTTGAACTAAAAAAATTAATTCATTTTAGGTTTCATATTTAAAGACTAGATTGAAATTAATGATGACCACATTAAAAAATGTTAAAATTCCCACTCCCACTCTTATGATCTAACTAAAACAACACTTCAGGCTGAGTAACCTAATAAGGATGATGAGTTATCACATACGTTGGCTGATTAGAACATGTAAGTACCTTAAATTTTTCCCGTAGATCTTCTTCTGTGTAGGACTTTGGTATCATAACAAAAATTCTCGTAAGTTCTTCATCTTCAACATCTCGATGACTTCCAGATGATCTGGACTGAGCAATGAAAACCTAACAATAAAAGAAAAAATAATTAAAACTGGCTTCCCTGTTTTTTTAAATATACTTACTTTATAATAAGGATGCAATTCACAGGTTAAAATACAATGTGATGGAGTCTTATACAATTTTTTTCAAGAGCAATCTTTATTTTAGTTTATTATTTTCCCGAGTGAGAGAGACAGAGAGGAGAGATAACAACCCCAATAGGGTCTTGATGCTACATTTCACCCCCAGTTTCTGCCAGCCCTGGATCATGAGCACGTGTATGATTGATATAGTAGGAGAAGTCTCCAGATATAAACTCTTGAACCTTCCTAAGTGAGTTGGCTTTGCAGTGTCACGTTTTATAGTCTGGCCCCTAGAAATAGTCTTTATTGTAACAACTTTCCTTATGAGATAATAGCAATCAGTGCATTATGCTGCCTTTCCCAGATATATTTTTCTTTAAAGGAGTTTATTATTATTATTATTTGTGATAAACACATGGATGCACACGACAGAAAGGGAGAAAGAGGAGAAAGAGAAGCATCCTTGAGAGTCTCGTCACACTGTGATTCTCCCTTCCCAAGTCCTCCAGCTCGTCAGGATGCTGTGCACAAGTGCATACAGCTGGTGTGTTTTCAAGGCAACCCAGAGATTAAAACTTATGATAACCTGTGGGTTCCAGCAATGCAGTTCAGCTTAATTACCGACTGTGATGCTAGGCCTCCAAATAGATTTCTAATTTACATTTTTGTTTATCAAGAGCAAGTCACTGAACTTCAAAGAATGTGTACTTTGCAGCTGTTGGCTAGTGTTCATTAAATGGCAATTACATAGTTGATTAAGTTATTAGATGTCCTCTATTTCTACTAATTTTGTCTACTTGTTTTATTAGATACTAAGAGAGCAGTATAAAAATTCCTGTGATTATGAATTTATCTTTCTCCCTTTACTTTTATCAATAATGCTCCATGCATTTTGAAGCTCTATTATTGGTTTTGTAAACACATGAAATTGTTATGTATTTTCCCCCCTAATTTTGCCAGAGGGCACTTTTATTTGCCAGAGAGACAAAGAAAAAGGGAAAGTGAGAAACATCCCCCAAGGGGCATTAGTCACAGTATAGTCCTTTCTCTTCTATCTCTTCCACCTTTTGAGATTTTTTGGGAATGCACACACTTGCTCCCAGCATAGTTCTCAAGCCATCAGATCCAGGACTCAAACTGCATAGTTGACCATGTGTGATCTGGCTCCTTAACCACCACACCACACGGGCTATCCCTGTTACACACATTTAAAAAATTACTTTGAATTTGCCCTATAGTATTGCTTTAATTTATAAATTTGTTTGAGGCTGACATTATTCCAGAGGAGTATTAAAATCTCTAAGATTGTGAATTTATTTACATAACTATAAGCATAAGTTTAATGGCTAGTTTTATTTTTTTGTAATGCAAAAAAATGAAGTAAAATTAATCACCGCATACAGAAGTAATGGTCTTTGAGGCTCGTTTTAAATTTTTTCCCTTTAAAGTGGGACTGTTAAGTATGGGAAAGTTGGATTTATGGGATTCTGGAGCAGGAAACAACAAACAGGATATAGAATTTAAAAAGGGATTTTGTAAATATTGAAAAAAGAGGAAACTGAGGCCCTGGGGAAAGAAGGTGGTTATATTTGCTTAGTAAGCAGGCTGTCATAGAGATGTAGGATCCTGGTTATAAAATGGAGCTGGAAACATAACCCTAGATAGAATCTACTTCCAATTATTTCTTCAGTAAGTCTACAGTACATGCCATACATTCTTGAGGTATTAGTAATAAAATATTAACACAGACATAATCCACTGGAAAGTTAATCTAGTGGACGTACCAGGAATGAATAGTCAACAGAGAAATAAGAATAGGGAAGCCTTACATACATGCAAAGACACTAGGGAAGAAAAAGCTGTTCTGATGAGACTAGAGATACCATCATATCACACATTTCTAAATTTGAGAGCTGAAGAATTTCAAATCTCTTACAGAGGAGACAGATACATGTGGTACGTATGTATAATTAACTCCCTAACAGAAGATTTCCCCTGGTCTGGCCCCGTGGCCTGATTAAGAGAACCGATCCTACATGACTGACTGATTTGAATCCTGGCCCCAGTGTCTAGAAGGACATGCCAGTTATGTGTGCATGCATGCCCCAAATCCCAACAGGATGGAGAGGAAAGGGGGCTGAGGTGAGACCATACCCACTAGCAGTACTTTCTCCCTTTGTCTCTGCTGAGCACATGTTTTCTGGCAATGAAAAACCAAAGAATGAAAACAACAAGAAAGATTTCTTTCAATAGGTTTTTAACCTTCACAGACTATAATCACTCACAAACTCTAGATAAAAGGCATTTTTGCAAGGCTAAAACCATGATTTTTCTCTTCCACATTCATAGTTTACCTCTTCCCTCCAGATAACAGCTGTTCATAGAATAACTTTTACATGGACAATCTTTCGTGGCTGTGGGCCTGGTATTGTAATATTCTTGTCTTTGGAGTTTTGCAAAAGTAAAGTACATAAGAAAATTTAGAACTGAACTAACCAGAAATATTGAGACAACAATGTTCTAGTGGATGACAGCCCAAGCTGTAGCTAATGAGGAATGAACTTAGACTGTTTAGCAAGGTTCTATAGTGAAACAACCTTCTGGCTGCAGCTGAGCGAACAAAAATGTGAAAAACAAAATATAAACTTCAGTTCTATTTGGGAACAACCATTTAATTTCACTGTGGCTAGAAAAGAAGAAACATTTCAGTATTGGGACTTTAATTTCTCTTGTAGGAATTCATCGAGAAGGGCATCCATAAGTTTCAAATTGGGGACATTTTTTGAGGTGCTCATATGGGCTATGTGGTCACATTTTACTTAAAGTATAAAAATCCTCTTATTTATAAAAGTAAAAATTATCATTGGAAAGAGGAAAATGATCAATGTAGGTTCAGGGGTCAGCAAACATGTAAGTTCAGGGGTCAGCAAACTAGAGTTCTCTGTTTTGGGAATAGTCCAAGATATATGAATCGCTTTTACCTTTTTACAAACCTGATAAAAACAAAGGATATGACAGAGTGCATATGGCCCAGAAAGCCTACAATATTTACCATCTAAACCTTTACAGAAAAAGTTTGCCGATCCATCTAGGATGAGGGGTGTCTTTAAAAAGTTCATGGAGGGGTCAGGTGTGATGTGGTAATACAACTGGACCCACAGGAGAAGGGTCCTGGGTTTGTGTCCAGGGATCTTCCGGAGAATGCCTGTGATCTGGGGGTAGATTATGCCATGAGGACCCTATTGGGGATGCCGGTGTCTCTCTCTCTCACAGAGGAAATAGATGGACTAAAAAATTCATGGAAATGCATATTAATAAAAAAAAACTATATATGGACTTCCTATTTTTTTTCCTACCAAAATAAACCTGTATTTTAGTGCCATTTACAATGGCATTAAACTTTCTGAAGTCCCAATGTATATGCCATTGCCCTACAATGAATTCTGGTGATGCCCTGTTCTGACCCCTTTCAGAGGGTTGGCTCTTCCCAGGTTCCTCCTTCATGGTTGAAGATATAGGTGAGACCTCCAGAGAATGAAATATCTGGTTCTTTCATTTATGTATGAGGGTACATCCAAAAGATCATGGAAAAAAAGAATGGAAAGCTTCAACAGAATTAAATATATAACAACTAATTCAATAGGACAGATGAAGGGAACAATTTAAACAATTGCCAGGTTCTCAGGAGTGAGCCCTTATGTAAGGACACAAGTGTAGACATCATGGCTGCCACTGATCAAAATAGGGATACACTGAAGACTTTTCTACCAGGCACTATGTTAAAAGGATAAAGTCAAATAAATGTCATAATGGCCCTTTCTGCCATATGCCACTACCTTAATTTTATAGATGATTAAGTACAGACACAATATAAATACCACCAGGGTGAACAAGGACACAAATAAACATTTAATAATAATAACACAAAACCCACACTACCATAACAATGATTTGGCTCCTAAGACAGTTTACTTGCTTTCCTTTTTTTTTTTTTTTTAAAGAGAGATTTCTTTCTATGGTGTATATGCACTCACTGCACAGCCTGAGGTTTAAACACCTGGGTCCAGGACTCAACCGGAGTCGACTACGTGGAAGTCCAGCGATGTAACCATTAGGGTATCTGCTGGTCCCTACTTTTTTTTTTTTTTTTTCTTTTAAGAAAGATTTTTGCTATAGGGCGCTTCCCGTAGCAGGGAGACAGAAAGCAATCACCCCCTCCTCCCCCAACAGGGGATGGCCTTGCAGCAATCCCTTCTCTTCCATTCTTCTCTCAAGATTTTGGGCACACACGCACTGTGCCAGGCGTGAGTATCAAGCCAATGGATCCGGAATTCAAACTACAGTTGGAATTATTCTTCTCTCAAAACGTAATGATACAACGTAATGATACAACGTAACGCTACTACGTAACGCTATACCATCTGTCAGCCCCTTGCTCTACTTTCAAAGAAAACTGGCAATAAGAAAGAGGATCAGGGATCATATGTATGCTATTTACATCTTCAAACTAGGGCTTATGCAAAATAATTGTAAAAACTCACAGAAGTGTGATGGAAATATAATGTTAACTATTTTGACCACCTGCATTTAATATTATGTACATGCACACCTAGGTCTGGTAGTGGGAAAATGCCCAACACCAGGGGGACACAGTTTAATGTACTTTTGTCAAGTTGCTAAGCCCCACATCCACCAGAGGTAAGAGCAGTTTTCTGTTTTTATAGCTGGGACGTATTTTAAACCCGGGCGTCTAAATGAGGAGGGTCAGAAAAGTCCTCAAAGTAAGCCAAAGTGAAGTGGGCTGTTACTTCAAGAGCTGCACATTCGCGCCGGCCAGGGTGCAGGGAGGCCTAGCCACTGGCGTTCTGCCACCCGAGTCGCCGCAACTACCCGATGGGCTCCCTGGGGCTGATGTTCTGATGTCCCCCGCCAGCGCTCGCGCAGCCTCGAGGGAAGGGCTCCTCAAAGCCATCCGCGATCACTGCCACCCACGCCAGGTGCCGAGAGCACACGTTCTGACCCTCCCCAACGGCCACAGCACCAGGGGGACGCAAGTCCGAGAGGCCGAGCCCCAACCCGACACCGCCCCGCGGGCACCCCGACGCGGGCACCCGCACCTTGATGGGTTTGGTGTCGTTGGGGCCGAGGCACTGGCCGTGCATCTCCTCCATGGCCTTGCAAGCCTGTGAGCTACGGGCGAACTTGACAAAGGCAATGCCCTTGGACTCCTTGGTGTGCTTGTCCCGCACCACCCAGATGTCCTGGATCTCGCCGAACGGCGAGAAGCGTTCCCTCAGCACCGACTCCGGCGTGTACTTGCTGATCACCAGGAAGATGCGACTGTTGGGCGGCTCGTCCAGGCTGTCCACGCCCGGGCGAAAGCCTCCGCCGCTCGCAGAGCTTCCCGCTTCGTCCATGGCGCTTCACCCTGGGGCGGGAGCCAGATCCCGGGGCCCTCACCACTCCTCACTTCTGCTCTGCCAGCCACCTTCTGCCGGCTGTCGCGCCCAAGCCGTTGAGGGGTCCGGCGCTCCGCCTCCGGAAGACGAGGAGCCGGGCGTCAGCCGCCGTCCCGCCGCGCCGGGTCCGGCTTCCGGGAGGCTGCATGCAGCGCCCCCTAGCGCCCCCTAGCGCTTCGGTGGACCCTGACACAGCCCAGGCCTCCAATTCTTCCCGCCCGCGGGGATTTTCGTTCAAAGTACCTGTTGTGCGACGGTTGTTCCCTGGAACCAGAACAGCCCTGTCTGATGTTCTGGCTTTCCCAACCAGGGATTTACTTCGCCTTCAAGCTCCAAGGATTCTTCCCCCAAACTTACCATTTTTAAATAAAAAATGATTCACCACACTTGGAGGATGGTAAGGCCAGCTTTCTCCCAGGGAGGGCCAGGCGGTAGATACAGAGACCCTGCAATGGGGTCTTACAGTGGAGAAGAAATGTTAACTCAGTTCTGACTCAAAGAACAAGTGGAGGAGCTCTTGCTGCGCTGGTAGAATCTTTGCTGAAGGCAGGCTAGGCTGATATCTACGGTGGTCAAATGGAGGGAATTTTCACTAAACTGACTTTGTAGGATTCTTGCTCAAGCTGAATTTCACAAAAATAGACACCCAAGGTTGAGCCTAGTCAAGCAAAGGACTCTATGAGTAAAGTTTTGGTCAAAGGAAAGCCATTGTTACCATCTTGGCCATAAATTCAATAAAGGGTCACTATAGGACAGAACTATGGGACACCGTTAAATACCATTGAAACTTAGACCTGGAAAGAACCTTTGACATTATCCAATTTTAGCCTCATCTTTTAGAGATGAGGAAACTAAGACCATAGTATAACAAAGGTAATAGAGATACAGGTAACAGCCCCAAACCAGAACCAACTCTGCTTGTTGATTTACTGAACTCCAACAAGCATTCCTAGGGTGTAAGGCACGAATGGGTGACCTACTCATATGTAGAATTAGAAGGAATCTTTAGATGCAAGCAAAGTGGGAAATGCCTGCTAACCTTTAAGGAAGCCTGCCTATTAGAAGACTTTAGGGAGCAGTCAGCAGAAAACCAGCAGAAACCCAGAAACAAGGCCTGGATTTAGCAATGGCATTGGAATGAAGTGAAAAACATAAACTTGTGAGTGGAAAGCTCGCTGCATATCCAAGGTCAGGCTGCTAATATCCAGATTGCTATGAAGCCAAACAGATAAATATTTGTTGTGTCCCAGCTATGTACCAGGGTTTGTGTCTGAGCTTGATACCCAATGGGGAGCAAAAATCAACAAAACAAAGCAAATGATCCCTGTCCTCAGCTGTTTTTTCTTTTTTTTTTCAACTGTAGAAATTTTGCATGCAAATATATAATGTCAAATAATGTCAGATTGGGTTAAAAATTTTTGCTATGGTGTTACCTCATACTTCCAGTTTCGCTTTTTTCAACTGTAAAGTACAAGTAATGTTACCTATTAAATGGTGTAGTCAAGTTTAATTCATTGATCCATTCATTTACTGTAAATGTCTTTGACTGTCTGCTATGTTGGGCAGTGTACCCTGTATAGTTATGGATATTTGAAATAATATATATGGAGCTAATATTTTAGGAATCAAATGAGATAATATGTGCACAATGGCACAATAGAGATTAATTTTATTTTTCCCTTTGACTATGCTCTTCACTCCCACACCCTTGATACTGTATAGCTGTGTGATGGTAACTTAGAGTCAGGGATTTGGGATTGTTCCCTGGATTTAGCACGAGCCATGTTGTTATAATTTCTCCTTGTATTATATTCTGTACCTGAAAAATAAGGTTGTTTTCCAGAGATTGTAGCAAATGTAAAAACTACCTTCTCTCAACTTTCTACTTCTCTTTTTCTTACCCAGAACAATCAAGGTGAATGAAATAAAAAAAAAGTGTAATAATTTTATTACCATGAGGAATTCAAAGATTCTGAGCTGTTTGCACACCAGTGCCATCTAGTGGGAGATGTATTATTTTCTTAAACTGCATTGAGCAGACAATTTGTTCTTGTAAAATAAGATTAGTTTCCTGAAATTTTAGGCTGATGTTCAGAGCAATTCATTTTTTTCTTAAAGACAGGATAAAAGATTGCATAAAACAAAACCAGGAGGAAAAGTATTGAGAAATGCTAGGAAAGCAAAGTTTCTTTGTCACTCAATCATGTGAAATATCACATATGCAAGGAAAGCAAAGTATTTACTTATAAATTACTAAAATATAGTAAATATATTTGTATGTGACTTAATTTAAACAGATTTATTGATATATAATTCCTGTATTATACAATGTACCCATTTGAAGTGTACTCTTGGGAAATCATATAACAAGGCCCAATTGAGCATGCACTGAAGTGAAAGGGGAGGAGCCGAGATATAAAAGCACACAGAAGCCTAAATACTAGCATCCACCCTTAAAGTCAGCTCTTTCCTACCTCTCAGTTTACTTTCATTTTTTCCTCCTGCTTTGTACTTGCTTATCTTGCTATCAAGATTTGTCCCACAATATGGATATCTCTTAGTTGAATTCTTTCTTCTAAGAAGACAAGAACAGAAATATTAGTTTCCATACTAACACTAGTAACTTCCTCCTTACAGCTTTTTCAGGCCTTCCGTCTGTGTTTCTCTCCCTTGCTTCTTCAGGACCTATTCTCTTTTTCTATTCCTGCTCAATTCTCTGTCGGTTTCCATGTTACTGTATTTTTATGAAGCTCATTTATAGTAATTTACTTTACCGTGTTTTACATCTTGCCTTAGCCAGATTGTAACTCATGAAAACTGAGGCTGCAGGGTTCAGCGTTTGTGCTTCCAAGTTGCTTGGCACAGCGCCTTGCCCATGGTGAGCACTTATTTTATGCTTTTGTTAACTTGAGTTAATTACTATGACCAAATTCTCTTGGACCTCTTAAACATTCTTGGAAATTCAGTTCTTCATGGAAGATCTTGTACACATGACAAATATAAGTAAATTACTTATTTGGTTCAGTAAAGGTTAAATAAACAAAGAAAAATAGGCTTGGGACTGTTATGCTGGAAAAACATTCCCTTCACCATTTTAGGTCTCAGCCAGAGGCTGCACAGCAGGTGCACAGCTTTAAACCCCTGTGGGAGTCGAGATCCTATGAGACTCAGGGGCCAATCAGCAGTGTGGTTGGGCCTGCAGGCCATTGGCTGGCCTCCACCAGCAGCCCACGTCAGGCAGGGACTTCAGAGCAGGGGTTTGAGGTGCTGCCAGCACACCCCCCGCCCATCCCAAACTTGAGGCGGGGGCTCTGGCTGGGCAGCTGCCAAGCAACTGATTGAAGGGGTGGAGGACAGCAGTGCTGGCCCTGTGGTAGGTGCTGGACAGGCTGGGAGAAAATGGGATGGGCAGCCCTGCTATCTGGTTATCTGCCCATGGATGCAATATGGGCACGCACCTACCCAGACAGGAGTGCTGGGGCTGTCAGTCCTGTAGGAGACTCACCCCAACTTAAGCCCCAGGCTGGAGGGCCCAAATTGTCCCTTCATGCAACAGAAGACTATTTCTTCTGAGGTGCCTCTCTGTAGCCGCTCTGATTTCTTGGTGGTACCAATTCTTTTTTTTTTTTTTTTTAACAGTCTTTTTTTTTTTTAAGTTATTTTACTTATTCATTCATTTATTTTAATTTGACCAGAGAGAAACAGAGAGAGAGAGAGAAAGTAAGAAAGCAAGCTGTCAGGTCCAGGACTTGAACCATGGCGAGTCATGTGGGAATGTCCAGTGCCTTAACCACCACACCACCTGCTGGTCCCCTGGTGGTACCAATTCTAAGTACAGTCTTCCACCTACGGTTGGCAGAAGTTAGCCATGGCATGGAGACGGTGGCATCAGCACAGGTCAGGAGTTTGGAAAGCGGGATTCTTGTTCTAGCTCAGGGTCACAATCTCAGCAGCCTAGAAAGGGAAAGGTACTAGACGTGATAGGGATTCATAGACCTCTGAGGGGATTTTCTCAGGGTCGTACTCCACTTCCCAGCTCTTTCCACTAGTTTGTGGGATCCCACTTAATCTTTTCCAGTCTTTTCAGTATTCATCCCTAAAATACTCTGGGGAACCTCTCCACACAGACACACACACACACACACTTTAATCACTTCAATTATGTGGGCTTTATAAATCTTCAAAGTTTTATTGATGTCTTGATTGTTCTGGCCACATTCCTTGTTTTATGCAGTTAGACCTGGCAATGGTATGTGCCCTTTTTTTTTTTTTTTTTTGAGAGGTTTTTCGCTATACGGTGCGTGCGCTCGCCAGACAGACAGAGAGACATAGAGACAGAAAGCGAGAAATCACCCCCAGGGGGGATGGTCATGCCTCAATCCCTTCTCCTCCATTCTCCTCTTGGGATCTTGGGCACGCACGCACACGTGCCCGGCCTGAGTTTAAGCCACCGGGTCCGGGATACGAACCGCGGTTGACTACGTGGGAGTCCAGCGACATAGCCATTACACTAACTGCTGATTCCCATGTGCCCGTTTTAAAAAGTATTCCACCTAGTCCTCTTTACACACTCAGTTGGGGAAAAAAAAATATTAAACAGCTGCAATGAGTCAGATATTGTGTTCCACACAGGGAGTTGCCTAAATCACTCTTTAAAGGGAATTGTTAAAACTTTTAGGACTATGCATTTAGTATTGTTCCACCTCTCACCATCTCCTCTGCTAATAAACTTGTGACCTTAAACAAGTCACTTAATCTCAGTGTGTCTTCTTTTTTCATCTGTAAAAACAGAGATTGATAGCACCCATCTCACAGAGCTCTTATGAAGATGAAAAAAGTTAATAATAGAGAGCTTACCATATGCCTGGCACATAGTAAGCACATGCAAATATTTGGTACTCCTATTTAGTATTGGAATTACTTAGTTCTTGGATGAAAAATCATTATCATATTGGGAATCAGCAGTTAGTGTAATGGCTATGTTGC